GCAGCAGCAGCTACCAAGCAGCAGCTACCAAGCAGCACCACCAGCTATCAAGCAGCAGCAGCAGCAGGGAAAGAGTGAGCTTTTCTTAGAGTCTTTCGTGCCCGAACATTTGGTCTCGAACAATAGCACATATAGGTGCTGCCTGAGTAATTGTAGAAGGGCGACGTGGAAAGACAGATATATCTGATATATATATATATATTTTTTTTTCACGAATAAATGCTGACGATGCAGCTAGCAGCGGTGTGCATGATTGACATCTAGGGGTTGTATGCGAACATGTGTCAGCGACCGAAGACTCCGTCGCAACGCTTGTGCATGCTCCCTGTCGCTCGAACATGGAACGCGGACTACCATGAGTGAAGCAAACAGCCCGTTCAAACATCTTGCTGGGTTCTGTCATTCATGTGTGAAGTAAGTATCATCTTTTGATCTGCGTGGATAGCGGATAGTGCATTCTGATTTGTACTCTTGGGTTGTGGGGTGGGTACATGCCTGTACAAGCTTCTTAACGATATAATGAAATTAGCATCGTTTCACGACTCAGAGGGAATGCAACTACTCTCGATTGTAACGAATAGGCTTTCTTCAGCACCAACAGCAGCCAACAACCCCAAACAGCAACAGCAGCAAAACGGAGCAGACAACAAGCAGCAGGCAGCCATGCAAGCAGCAAGCAGCAGCAACCAGCAAGCAGCCAAGAGCATCCAGCAGCACCAAGCATGCAAGCAGCAAGCAGCCAAGAGCCAGGCGCAGATGAGATGCCAGCAGCAGCAGCAGCGACCAAGCAGCAGCAGCAGGTACCGACGAGGAGAAGGGTGGAGTTGAACCCCGCGAGGGGGGGGGGGTCTATCAGGTAATAGCACTCGGGTCCTCAGCTCCCACCCTCCTTGCTAAAGCAAGACAGACTCCAGCTAGCTACAGCTAGCTTTCGTGAATACATCTGATTACACAAAATAGAATGATTGAATATATGGCAGGTAGACTGCCAGAGTGTATGCTAGATAGAATGCATTCAATATATGCCAAATATAATGTCACAATATATGCAAGTATATGTGCAAGATAGATACTTTCTTGGTGATGTTGAAGCAATACAGCCGTTGGTCATCAGCAGAGTGCCATGGTGGGGATCACTCGAAGTAAAGTATTTTTGGGATATCCTGAAACCCGCCTCACTTAGTTTGGTCAGGTCCACCTGTCTCCTAAAAAGAAATATCAAACGCATATGAAAAAATAACTATATATATACAGTACATCCTTGTTCACCGCCTCCAATTTTCAATTTCACAAACCCATCCTTATCCCATGATCCAATTGACATTCGGAGGAGATAAGTGTGATTGGCTTTGGAGACAACATTCCCAGATTCCCAGATCCATGCTCTCTGGGCGGTTGGTTTCGACGACACTGTATTGCCTCTATTTGACTGGATTGAAGATGATTGAAGGATATTGAAGGAGGGTATCGTCACACCACAGCCCACCAAACCTCGCAACACCATTAACAACCTTTCGCGCAAAAAACACATCTGGCATCACCGCAGGAAATCAACATCTGCAAATCACAAAAGCAACAACACACCCCATATCCCGCAAATCACCATAGATCTCCATAATTATACATATAACCCAAGTGGCCACTACTCACCATGCAAAACACCACCCACGACACAAAATACACCCCAAAGAATGGCAAACGACCGCTTGGAGATACAACTTGAAGAATTGCAAAGTAGACATTGACCATCTTGACAGCACTGCAAGGCTCGCTTGATTCGAAAAGTGGTCCTGGCAAACGGAAAAGCCACCGCAGTCAACAATGTACCTGCGGCCGTGTATTGCAAGGACAGTTTGTCCAAATGCCTCTTTCAAATTGAAGGAAGGCGCACAGTTCAACTGCAACATTTGTCTCAGGAATGTTGACCTAAGTGCGTTCATGTGTTGCTATCAAGACAAAATGAGACCTGTAAGTCAAGCAACCCTCCCAATCTTTGCCAAAGGACACGCTTCACAAGAAAGTCGACACCTATCGTCATGTTGTAGTTCTTGGGAAAGCTTTGGGCACCTCCCTGGGTTCGACCGAAGGCCAGGTTGGCTGAAGGCGCATCCACATGTGTCCACAGGTCAATCACTTAGTATTCCGCACAAATAACGCGGTCACGCTGTAGGGATGACAGTTGACAGTTGAACACAACATCAAAAACACACAATTGACGGTAGATGAGCATTCCATGTTGAAATGTGTCGAACAAAGATGAACAAAGGACGGTTTCCACGGAGAGCTCAAATTTTGAAGCCGTCGTCTTAGATCTGGCGAGATCTCTGCTTTAGACTTGAAATCAAGGCTATTCAACCTGCCCAAGCTTAGCTTCAGATTGTGGGCAGAACATGTACACAAAAAGCCAAAGTTCTGACTACATAGACATTTTTTCTGGCCCAAATTTCATCGCGTGCAACATCTCAAAGCAAAGTCGTGAGAAAGTAGGCTATGCGTGCTTTAGCTTAAATGTTTATATATTTTTCCCCAGATAGCGAAGCTATGGGGTCCTTACTTCAAATAACAATGAGTTGCCCGCGCGCGCTTTCGAGACAGGTTGCTGGTGCCGGTGCTGGTGCTGGGTGCTGGGCGCCGGTGCTGGTGCTGTGAGCTGTGCACGTGGTGGAGACAGGTTGCTGGTGCTGGTGCCGGGCGCCGGCGCTGGCCGGGTGCCTGTGCCGGTGATGGTGCTGTGAGCGGGCCGCGTGGTGGAGACAGGTTGCTGGTGCCGGTGCTGTCAAGGGCTGTACTGTACTGTTCGCGCGCATACTTTTGTACGTACACTGTTCTATGCGCAACGTCAGGCTCTCTCAACCGACCATTGTTTCAAGTCGTGCTGGATACTGCTTGGCCTTGGGCGAGTGAAGCCTACGGGCTTTGCCGTTTGTGCGCACTCTTTTGCGCGCATAAACTTATACGCGCAAGATCATACGGCCGTATCGTTCTACACATCGTTGCTTCAAGCGTGCTACAAAGGCAATAGTGGCGCTGGATACTGCTTGGCCTCGGGCCAATGACACTTACGGGCTTTGCTGTTTGCGCGCATACTTTTGTGCGCATAAACTTATACGCGCAAGAGCACACTAGGGATAGCTATGGGGTTCTTACTGCAAACTTAATAGGAATGAGCTGGCTGCGCGCGCTTTCGAAGGGGTGTCAGTGCTGGTGCTGGTGTTGTGGTCCTGGGTGCTGGTGGCTGAGCGCGCGTTTAAGACGGACGGCGGTGCTGGTCGGGTGCTGGCGCCGTCCCCGTGTCAGCTGGCAAAGCGTACCGGTGCTGGTGTCAGCTGGTTGCGCGCGCTGTGGAGGTGCCGTAAGCTGGCTGCGCGTGCAGGCTGTGTACATTCTTGTTCCAGCCAGTCGCATGTCAACAGGTCGTGGGATGCTGCCTAGCTATCTGGGTCTATGCTGGTTTAATTTGTATAGATTAATGGTGCAAATCGGGATCTCAAAGGAGTCTCATCCCGTCGCTTGCTTCTGGAACTGGACCACCGAGGCCTGGAACACTTTGGCTAGTGAAGTCTTGCCTGGCTGCATGAGTCTGACAAGTATCACCATCAAGTTGGCAAGGATCGGTATTTGTTGGTCCTTCTTTTTTAGCTTGGAGCATTCTTGTTGCTTAGCATGGGCCAATGGGGTAGTTATATAAGATTATATAAGTAGGTTCCAACGACGAGGCGACTACAAGTAACATCTAGTCAAGAAGTAGTAGACAGTACTGTAGATAGTAAAGGTGTATGGATGCGTATAGTAGCAAACAGGTTTGCCAGTAGTAGTAGTAGCAGTAGTAGGAGTAGGGAGTAGGAGTAGGAGTAGGAGGAGTAGGAGGAGTAGGAGCAGTAGGAGCAGTAGTAGTAGGAGGAGTAGGAGCAGCAGCAGCAGCAGTAGTAGTAGGAAGTAAAGGCGTCGTTAGCCATTGAGAAGACAAACGAACAGTTGCATGTGAAGCTGAAGCTCGACAAGTTGCCAGCTGCAGAGTCTCCGAGCAACACCACTTTGCACCTGCGATTTTGCAACTATGACTATGGCCATGGTGGGCATGGCATTCCTTTCGTTTGTGTCTTTTGCTGTGAAAGTTGATGCCTCAACACAAGAGGCGAAGGCTGTACCTGAGGCTAGAAATAAGCCAAACCCTCTGAGTCCAAAGTTGCTGAGCAGCTAGTTTTCAGAAACGGTGCTAAGACTCAAGCAAGGGATCCAAAGGGGTTGCCATCAAACGCCTTGCAGCTGCTCTAAAGCACTTCATCACAGCTACTGCATTACTCCAACCAACTCACAAGGCAAAGCAATGCCTCCCCATTTTCTTCTGGAGGTGGTGGCGGTGGGGGTGGAGGCAAGCTCACATCATTCATGGCCCACAAAGTGACACTCTTGTGCCACCCTACCAAGTCTTGAACCAAAGAGCCAACAGCCGACAGCACTCCTATGCTTGTGAACCGGTATCAACCATCTTGCACCTAGATGCATCAAGGGAAGCAAGCACAGGCTTGTCAACGTTTTGCTGGCAACGACCTCCACAAGCCGATTTTTCAACACGACGGTGAAAGTCCTCTGAATCTTTCCACGAGGTCTCAGGAGCTCTCATGGTTGATGAACATGTTTGGTTGTTGATATCCTTGTGGTCCTCATGGTCTTCCTGCCTCATTCTGCCTCACTGTAGGCCAGAGAGCCCTAGAATAGGCCCTAGAAACCAAGCCTCCATTCTTTCAACAGTCATTTGACATCATTTGACATCAGTTGCCGCAATCAAAGCCTGGCTCCCATGCGGCTGCGGCTGCGAGCCCGAAGGCTGGTGCATTTGGTCCGAGTTCTCCAAGTCTGTAGGGTTGATCGAAGATCTTGTGATTCCATCAAATTGTACCGCACCATGGGCACCCTCCACACCGGGCGCACCGCAAGGATCAGTGGCTTCCAAAGCATCCTCGCTTGAATTGTCCATACCAGTCTCAGCAACTTGTTGCAAATCTTCCTCAATCTGCTCTTGGTTCACAGGACCATTTGCTTGCTCTGCAACTGCTTCGACAGTTTCGACATTGTCAATGCCTGGTCGGGTCAGTTGGGCTTGGAGCACAGGCAAGGAAGTCTCCTGAGTGCAGGCATCTGAAAGATTCTGAAAGAGCAATTTGGAGACAACTCAACCTGCGGTGAAGCTTCAAATATAGCACCAGGTACACCAGCACCTCAAACAAACAGGGCTCTGTAGCAAAAGACGGCAAAAGCAAACAAAGAAAGTTAGGTCTTGTTGGACTTTTTAGAGTGCCTGTGTCAATAGGCACCAGCGTGGCGATGGGAGATAGAGGTAGACCCAGGCGTCCCCCCAGCCTCCAAAAGGAAGATCCAAAGGTCAAGAAATTTCAGGTGTGTGCAAACACTTTCAGAAACAAAGTAGGCAAATGCAAGCAACAGACACTTCACGAGCTTTTGCACATACGTGTCATTTTTACCACACTGAACCTACCGCAAACCAAAGGAGTCCCCAGTCTCCTCCAATGCAAAGCGCAAGTGCTGTTCAAGCACTGCCTTGGAGGTGTACTCTGGTAGGTCAAGCGTATTCGCACAGGTGTGTGCTGCGGGAAACCTATCTGTAACCCCAACCCTCTGGATTGTGAAAAGCTCGGGCTGCAAAAAGCGAAATCCTCCTGAAGGAACTTGTGAACTTCCAGTCGAAAACGATAGAAGTTGAGCTCGCATGTGTTGAGGCATTTCTCGGACGACCTCCCAGAACCATCTCACGACTACAGACTCTGACGTGTAGCCGTTCTCGTATTCGGTATACTTTTCCCAGTCATCCACGTCAATTCCATCAGCCCCACAAAGCATGAGTTCAATTTCCTTCACTGACATGATTCCAGTGATGCGCTGCACGAGTTCATGTGGCACTACCCTCAAAAGCCCACGCTGAAAGTACTGCACCTGCTGCGCAACTCCACTGATCAAAATCCGATCCAAAAGCAGTTGGACAAACTTTTCTTTGTTCTCCTCCGTAACGGACATGCGGTCACCCCCCCTCCAGCAAAGGGGTACTGCGTACGAGTTCCTGACAATGCGACTCAGACACAACAAACGTTCTTGGAAGGTGCGATTGCTCAAGAACATCTTCCAACGTGTCACCCAAGTCCTTGTAAGATCCACTGAGAATGTATGTTAGCTTGGTGTGCAATGTCTTGTCGACATGCTCCAGCAACGGCAACAGGTCGGCTGTGTCGGTCTTTAGGCCGAATACCGACCGCAGGAAATTATGACCAAAGTGAACTGGAACAGTTTCTTTATTCAGAATTGCAAAGCCAATAACGCAGCCAAACAGTTCAAACTGCTCCGTCCAATCTTCCTGAACACACTGGCAAACAGGCTCTGGAGAAGGAACAATGATCCCACGTGCACCGCGCTGCCGAGATGTTTGAGAGAACTCAAGGTGTGCTGCATCTTCTGCTGGTGACATGAACAGGTCAGATGCAATGAAATAGCGGCACGCTCTGTCCAACCATTGTCTTCTTGGTCCACCTTGATCCTCACCCTCGTCTACAAGCTCATTTCCAGTGTCATCTGAATAGCCAGCTCTGAATTCAATCTCCAAAGGAACATCAATACGCGCCTGCGAATCCTGAAGATTTAGAGTTGAGCACACCCCATCGAGGACGTTGTCCCGTGGAACGACTATTCGAATTGGATCACCCGAGCCCTGAGTAAGTCGGACACGGTCACACTGTGCATGAAGCATGGCACGCTTAGTCGTAAAATCCAACAAGCAAGGATAGAATGAGACCTCTTCCAAAAGCTCAAGGGCAAAGGACGTTGCACATTCTTGCAGAACATTGTTCATTACAATCTTAAAGTCTGCCAATTCGGGCGGCACGGTCTTCTGCCTCAGCTGATCGACAAAGCCTGCCATGAACCGCGGCACCATCGGTGCCAAACATTCCAAGCGATAGCGCTGCTCCTCGAGAGGCATGTCCACCATTGCCCGAAAAACATCCATGAGACATGCTGCAGACACAGGCGGCTCCTCGTCAGACAATCTCTCAAAGAGATTTTGAATCCATTCGCTATCCTGTTGTCGCTCATCAACAGGTATGGGGCCATCTGTGATGGCTTCCGGCTTTGCTCCACAGGTAGGTATCTTCAGCTTTAGAAGTCGGACAAGTAGTCTCAGAACGGCAGCTGCATGCTGTTGCAACTGCTGCATCACTTCCTCGTTTTGCTCATTTGTCTCTTGGCTGTCAATCTTCTCAACAACAAACTGGGTTAGCAAACCGAGAATGCGAATCAGCTCCTCCAAAGGATCTCCCCGACACTTGGCACCGATCTCAGACCCGAAAAGCAAATCATATTTCTCAATTGCGTCAAGGGCAGCATTGAGCAGTGGAAGCGCTTCTGGGATTTCAAAGGTGAATCTGTTCTCAGGTTCCTTTGCCGTCCAGAAAAGCAAGAAGCAAAATAGACATTTGATTGCAGCTTCAATGTCCGGACATCGAAGTTCCCATTCATCAGCTTGAAGAGAGTCTGGCAAATGTAAAACAGTGGGCATATGTTTCAGGATCTCTCGAAAAATACTTGGATGCCAAAACTCTGAGTGCATACCGATGAAGTCATCATAAAAGCCAACATGGTCCGACAAATGCAAATAGATATGCACTGCTGAAACTACATCTTCAGGTTTTCCAGCTTTCAGTGGTTCCATGCACATCAGCCAAGCCCCGGATGCAATGATATCGCGGCGATCTCGCGAGCTCTGTGCAAAGCCACTTCGAACAATGCAATCCACAAAGCTTCCAACAACTTCTACCAACGAGTCCCCCTTGTTTGATGCTGCAGAGATTTGTTTTGCAAGTGGGGGCAACAGTCGCAGCAGTTGCCTTTTCAAAGCAACTTTGCAGTCGATCGATCGATAACCATAAGACACATCTTGAAGCTGAACGATCAAGTGATGCAGCCCTTGACGGATTTTGGACTTGTCGCCAGGTCCTTCCAACTGGGCATAAACCGATTCGCAAAGACCGCAAAGATCTTTGGACTCAGTCTCCGTCTTGCGAGGTCTTTTGGCCTCGAGCCCTTGGTCTTGCAAATCTCCAGCTTGTCTCTTGCCATGGCCATCCCATGCCATAGGTTAGAACAAACAGGCTAGTACACCCAGGGTAACGACTGCTCATCCTGTTGGTACATCTGTTTGTTTCTTGTATAGTGCCAAACAAAATTGACCCAACCCAGCACCGTGTTCACTTAGACTATATTATATATATATAGAATTATATAACTATTATATATATATATGTTCAGAGTTCGCTGCAAACTGTTTCCTGGACTGAATGGTCTGTCAATCAAAGCTAGTCGGTGATATCCAAATAATTTGAGCCCGCGGTCCCACGTGACAGGATTGGAGCTGGCCACAGGAAGCCTGCGTATAGCCTTCATAAAACTCAAATACGCTTTCATATGATTCAATTGCTGGGCCACTTGAAAAAGGGACACTCATACTGATACTATCAAACCAATGCTGCTTAGACCCACACCTGCTTGTGGCATCTTGCAGAAGTTGAGGGTCTCGATAAAGTTCTTCAGCTGCGAATTCCAAAGCCCATCCTGAGAAATATGGAAAGGCCTAGTGAAAGGCTAGGGAGAAAAAACACAAAGAGGAGATAGCAAAACCTCCACAATGAATTTCTGGATGAGGTTCCCTTGGACTTCCCAACAGCCATGGCTATGAGGTCTTTGTCAGCTCGCAAAGACCGCGCAGCAAACCGCAAAGCTCTCCAATCTGCGGACGGCGGAAGGCTCGATTTTTCACACTTAGAGATGGGACACATGTCAAATGGACTATACACATATATTAATTTAACTATAACATACATGTATAACTATAATACAGTAATATGCAATATCAACACATTGCTTTTCGGGACTCGTTGATAATATGATGATCTTGAACCGATATTGAACTCCAAAACCTTCATGTCTCTTTCTTTCCGTTGCCTCCACCTTTGCCTCCATCCTCCCTTTTACCTCCTCGTCCTGTTCTCTAAAGAACCAAAGATTTCGCTTACTGAGAGCTAACTTTCGTTCCCTTGAGATTGAAGGATTCTAAGTTATGCATTTGTCAAACGATAATACCCTTATTTCCTCTTGGGAATCTCTTTCCATGTCTAAGTTTCCCTGGAAATCTAGGAAACAAATCATTAGTGCGAGCGTCCACCCTTAGGCGGGGGGAGCTTCCTTGAAGAAGCGTGAGCTATCCTGTGTCCAGTATGTAGTAGCGTCTTAGTAGCTACTAGCTACCTCTTCCTCTTAGCGGCCTACCTCCCCGGCACAAACAAAACAACAAAACAAACGCATGCACATGATACATGTCAGTGCGCTAGGAGAAGTGCCGTGGGCAAGATACAAGTTGCACCGCAAAGGAGACAAAGGAGCAGCACAAAAGAACAAAGCTGCGAAACACCGGACATTCTTCTTAAAATCAAAGCAATCTACGTCGTCTTGCAGCCCACCAAAAAAACAGGCTGGATTTATGAAGCATTTTACATACCACCACGAAGCAAATGCCAGCTAGAGCAGCCACTAAATGGAGACATACAAGAACGCATGGACAAACATGTCATCCACGGTCTTCAACTTTCACGACACATAAACAACATTGCAATCTTGTGCTCTCGTCTTTTTGCGTCTAGGAACAAGTGCATCGCTTCTAGTAACAAGTGCCTTACTAGTAGTAACAAGAAGCTACTAGGGGCTCCTGGCCTTACTAGTGGTAACAAGAAGCTATTAGGAACAAGTGCCACGCTACTAGTAACAGGTGCCTTACTAGTAGTAACAATGTTTGCTATTAGGAACAAGAGGTTTCGAGAGCCGTTGGTTGATCCGGTCTCCTTGTGGTTTGGTCAACAAAGGTTGCAAGGTTGCAGTGAGTTGTGGTGAGTTGAGGTCTTGGGAATTGTTTAACCTTGCAATCCCAGTGGAAACTCCTTTCCATGGACAAAATTCAAGTTTTTTCACTGGCAAAAGTGATGGTCTTGTTGTCCTTAAGGTTCATCAGGATTTGCTTTGAGCTTCACAAGTGTCTACTGAGTGACTCACTATTTGCTGGGCCTTTCCACACCATCCAGCCTTGTTGGAATTCTCTGAGAGTGTTCGCATTTAACGAAGAACACATTAGCTTTAACATCGGCTTCTATACATTTCCAACCTAATAGCGATGGCCTCCACAGTAGAAGCAATGACCTCCAGCTACTAGTAGAAGCAATGACCTCCATCCTACTTTACTGTAAATTGCAACTATGTGCCCGCTCCTGCAAAGGTATACTGTATAACATGTATGCAGCATTATAATGCATCAAAGCGCGGCTCAAAAATCATAATGCAGCAGGGAACCTTATGCAAAACCACTCGTGTCAAATTCGTCATTTTGTGGCGAGGTTTGCTCATTAGTGGATCGGAAGATGGAAGTAATCTCACCTGCATTGATGCATCATGATGCATCCATGCCTTGCTGAATTGCTTCTTCAACAATCTCACGATCCCCCCTGCATCAAAGTCTGACTTCAACTGTCGGTTAGGACAAACACATTCACAATTCAATAAAAGCGCGAACACCAACTCCGTCACCGTGCATCACCGATCTGTGGAACACCTGTCATCCTGAGGCAAGGCCTTGCCTCAAAGTGTCACTTGCAAACTCCAGAGCTTGCCAGTTCTGCTTCACCGCACCTGGATATTGTGGAACACTTGTGGGAGTTCGGTGAAAGGCCCGATCTTCACAAAGCGAACAGATCCTTGCATGGATTCCCAGTCGATTCCCATGCAACAGGACAAATCTACGAATTCCTTTGTTTCCTCCTTTCCTGGTTTCTTTCTTTCTTTCTTTCTCTAGACCTTTTCTGATTTCTATTACTGGTTCCTTTCTGTTACTTTTTTCTGTTTGTGGTGTTCTTTTTTTCTCATTTCCGTCATCATTCATTATATAGTTGTCCCTTTTGCCAGGCGGCAAAGCACAGCTTCATGGTCGCCCTGTACTTCGCAGGGGCAGAACTCCAGTTCCTACGCGTGAAAAATGCACATCTGGGCACTGCCTTACTATCTCTGGCCTTGACCTTCTTGGCCTCAAACCTGTTCAAACCTGCTAACTGATCGCCACCACTACCAGGCCACTACCACAGGCTGAGCACCACAGTCCGTCCAATCGCTCAGGACAACATAACGCTTGTGTTGGATATATCGTTGACGGAGGAAATGCCCAATCCTTGGCGTCTAAAAGTCAGAAAACAAAAAGAACTGCCAACTAAAGTAAAACAGAAATCAGAAAGACTGAATGTCACCTTGAAAACCTTCTGAGGGAATGTCACAGCTGCAGGTGCATGAAGCACACTCAGCAGCAAAGTCAAGCCTTCAAAACTCCTCTCGATGCAATGCCACAAAGCCACAACCACAGCCTGGATTCCCAGACTCTTTTTGTTCCTAAACATCTAGGAACCAAATGAATAGAATAGAAATGTGAGCTATCCTGAGCCCAGTAGCTTACTTAGCCCTTAGTCACTCAATTTAGTAGGCATCTACTGAATTAAGGACGGACCGAAACACAAAAACAACAAGATGGAACCCACGAACCCGAATGCAAACACGTTCGAAAAACTACATATGTCCAAATGACACTCTTGTAGGACACTCTTGTGGG